GATGTGCTGCTCAGCTCTTCTTCTTTCTGTTCTTTATCACAGCTGGGTATTCACTCCTGACCATCATGTGCTACGACCGCTACGTGTCCATCTGCAAACCCCTGCACTACAGGACCCTCCTGGGCAGCAGAGCTTGTGCCCACATGGCAGCAGCTGCCTGGGCCAGTGCCTTTCTCAATGCTCTCATGCACACAGCCAATACATTTTCCCTGTCTCTGTGCCAGGGCAATGCCCTGGGCCAGTTCTTCTGTGATATCCCACAGATCCTCAAGCTCTCCTGCTCCTCCTACCTCAGGGAACTTGGTCTCATTGCAGTTAGCGTGTGTTTGGTATTTGGCTGTTTTGTGTTCATTGTTTTCTCCTATGTGCAGATCATCAGGGCTGTGCTGATGATTCCCTCTGAGCAGGGACGACACAAAGCCTTTTCTACCTGCCTCCCTCACCTGGCCGTGGTCTCCTTGTTTGTCAACACTGTTATCTTTGCTCACTTTAAGCCTCCCTCCATCTCATCCCCATCCCTGGATCTGTCAGTCTCTGTTTTGTACTCGGTGGTACCTCCAGCCCTGAACCCCCTCATCTACAGCCTGAGGAACCTGGAGCTCAAAGATGCCCTGAGAAAAATGATGACTGTATCTCTTCAGAAGCAATAAATCCTATTTTTTTCCGCTCAGACCCTCCAGAATGTAACTCTTTACAATCCTGGCCTTTTTTTCCCCTATTTGTCCATTTGTTCATTGGAATCTTTCCTTAATTTTTTCTAGTGTTATAGTATTTTTTCTAAAATACTGTATTACTACTCTGAGCATTTCTACATGACCATCTACTTTTCTTGTGTAAGACAAAGAATTTCAGGAGGCTTGTTCCCAGTTCTTTTCAATAAAATCGAGTGTTTTCCCTGGCTTGTGTGTCCAAGGCATTTCCTCAGCCCTTCTCTGGCTCTGCAGAGGCAGTGCCTGTGAGCAGAGGTGGAGGGAAGAGGCTCCCAGCACAGCAGCAGGGCCAGGGACAATGGCCCTGCCTCTTCCCACATCTGCTCCTCCCAGCTCCACACTCCCCTTCCCAGCCCTGCTATGGGGGCGAGGCCGGAGTGCTCTGGCAGCTTGGTCACTGTCCTGCTGCGTGTCCGTGCTGTGCCCTCAGGCAGGGAGAGGCCATGGGCACTGCTGGGACACAGCTGGGCTCCAGCACAGCATCTCTACCAGCAAAGGGCATCTCCTGAGCGCAGGGCAGCAAGGCTTTGCTCCCCTCCAGAGTCACTCTCAGGACTCTCAAGAGGCTCCTTGTGTTCCTTATTCTCCCAGGACTCAGTGGGATGAGATCAGGGTCTCACTGGGGCCTTCAGGGGACTCAGGTCTGGGTCAGGTTTTGCTTGTTGGTGGCCAGTGCCCATCAGAGGCTGAATGGTCTGTGCTGAACCTCATTATTATCTCTATTTTCAACATTTTCACAATCTTAATATACAGCAATTATAAACTTTATCCTTCCTCTCTGCAGAATTGACAGTAGGGATTAGCATTGCAGCAATGCTCTTTAAAATATTATTCCTTGACCCACAAGTCCCCACAGTGTCAGAATGGACTCCATGGTTCCATGAGGCCCCACAGTGTCACAATGGCCCCTTGGTTCCATGGAGCCCCACAGGGTCACCATGGTCCCCTGGTTACAGGTGGCCCTGCAGTGTCACAAGGGCCCCTTGGTTCTGTGGAGCCCACAGGGTCAGTTTTGCCAGTGGGCAGGGTCAGCACCAAAGACACAGACACCAACTGAAGGAATTGTGTCATTTATATAAGGTAAATCTGCAAAAAATTAGAAAAGTAAAGCACATAATTATTAGAAAATATTTACAAAAGGAGCAGCTCAGCAATCACCACCAAAGATTGCAGCAGTGCTTAAGAAAGATCCAGCACCAGTTCCCCTCAGGCTTTACCATCCCCCAGATCCACACAGCAGCTGGGGGAAGCTGTCACAGCCAAGGGCTGCAGAGCCACTCCTGGACACTGGGAATTCCTGCAGGTGCCTCCAGCCACAGGTGAGGCTCCAACCCCGCTGTGAGAGGGCCCAGCTCTGACAGTGCTGAATGAACAAACTGACAGCACTTCTAGTGCAGGAACATCTGCTTTCATCCTCCTCTTGGGTTCCTCCCAAAGCCTGGCCAGGGCCCCAGGAGGAACCAAGGGAGGTGACTTTGATCCTACAGCCCCAAACAAGGCCAGATGGAGCCTTGTCTGATTTTTAAATAGAGAAGGGTAAATCCACATTTATCCAATGAACATATCCAGCGATCATATTGCTCATAGTGATTAATTAATGAGTAGATACAAATATAACCTTTGGTTGGAAGGTTCATCTACAGGTCAGCTTTTGTTCATGGCCTGGTGTTTAGGCCTCAGACAGGGCCTGGTGTTGAGGACGCAGGACTTCAATTGGTCCTTTAACCTGCAGATGTACTACAAACTTCATAACAATTCTTTGAATAACTTAGTTTAGATTTAGGAATTAGGCATAAAGGCATTGCAGCTTGTTCTTCAGTTTAGTGCTGTTCAAGTTCATTACTCAGAGCTATAATTCACATTCCTTTTAAAACGACCCTAATTAGTTGCTATGCTGTGTTCTTTATCAAACACGCCTTTTTTCTTGAGACTTTGTCTCTTTTTATACAAGTCTCAGTACCCCATTTCCAGCACAGTGTCACAACAACTCTAACATGGAATCATAACACACCAAGTGCTCACACTGCAATGATGACAGACACTGCCACAAATGCATTTCACAGCAGCCTCCAATTTGGCAGTCATGAAGCCAACCTACCAAGAAAATTTTTCTTCTTGCTGCCACTCTTCTACTGCCTTTTCTGTCAAGGTGATTCCTGACTGTTGGCCTTCAAACCCAGCACTGATAGCAGTGCAACATTCCTGTCCCATGGGTTTCTCCTGAAGGGAAATCTTAGTGAATCCTGTCAAACGGATCATTGTATTCCTGTGTTTTCTTGAACTGTCCCTTCATTGACAGCTCCGAGTCAGAGCCCATGGACAGAGTTCTGGCCAGCCCACAGGGTGGGCCCTCCAAAGGAACCCCATTCCTCCCAACTTCAGCTGAGAACAAACCCAGCAATTTGTGACATGGAGTACTTTGGCTACCCTGATCTTGACATTTTCAGAACTAATCAGTAAATGTTGATGACTAATCCCTTGGTAAAACACTAGAGGTGTTTGTGGCAAACAAAGATTCTGGCTGACTCTCAAGGTGACTCAGTCTTTTCCCTCAGTCTCATTCAGGATAAGAACAATAATTCTTATGAACAATTGTCCGTACAGCTGGCACCTTTTTAATTCCAGAAAAATGCCCCCAAGTCCTCTGCTGTTCAGCTTTAGCACGGTGTCTGTGGCTAACAAGGCTTGGTGGGGCCCTTTCCCCTTTGGCTGGAAGGGGACCGGTTCCCAGTCCCTGAGGGCATCCAGGCTCCTGGATGGAATTTGTCTGCAAGTCCTTCAGTGTCACAGCAGCCTTCACATGGAGCCCCATGGATCAGAGCATTTTCCAAAGGGGCCGTTGGGGCAAACAGGGAGATTTGGTCTGGCAGGATGTGTAAAACAATCTCCTGCATTATCTCCTTGTTCTCACACAGAACACATGGCTGCAGGGACATATTCCCATTGCTCCTGCCCAGGGTTCAGGATTCAAACAGTGTTGTCTTTCCCAGGAGCTGTTCTTTCACCCGTCTCAGGAGGGCCTTTTGGCATCTGGAGCCACACTCTAGCTCCTTTATTAGGACTGCTGGATCCATACCCTTTATCTCTACCAAAAGCAGCAATTTGAGATGGATGTCCTTTTTCCCCAGTTGTTTTAAAACCTGACGATATGAAAAATTATGCTACCCTGTAGTTTAATAATCCAATCTTGTTCACTGTTGTTTAACACAATTCCTTTAATTTCTCCTTGATATTCTGAATTCCTTTTTCAGTACTGATAACTCTTATTTGCTTCTGATTTTTCTTAACTAATTCCAAGGCATGAAGGTCCAGCCCTGCAGCCTCTGGGCTGGCCCTGCCAGGGGCCATCACACCCAGAACAATTTCCCAGGCAGTCCAAGTCTCTCTGTCCATGGCTGTATTTGCAAATTCGGCATTTGGGTCTTGGCCAGTTCTTTTCTGTAGGGCATTTAGTATCACAGTGAGCAGCCAAAGCTGACATGTTACCATTGTCACCCTTATTTCACATTATGAGTTTGTAATTACATAGTTATAAATTTGATTATTTTATTACATATATGTTCTGGTTTGGAAGCAAAACCAGTGAGACACTCCAAGTCAGAAATACAATGTATTAGGAAAAGGGAAAAAAACCCCAAAATAGCTGCAATAATGCAAAAGAAAAAAGCACTGACAGAGTGAGAATACAACCTGACACCCTGCTAGTTAGGGTGGTGGTAGCATGCCAGATGAAATGGTCTTGTTGAAGCAGTGATCACATAGAAAAGATCTGGTAGCTCTTGTCCTCTAGAAACCAGGGGGTAAGGGCAGCTTGTTCTGTCCCAAAACCCAGATTATATCCAGGTGGGGGATGCTTAGCACCTCTGCTACCTGGGCAGAGCATCTCACAATGGGCTGATATCATTCTGAGTCATGCTGTGGGTCCTTGATTGCCCAGGAAACAGGAATGGCTCCTGGAGGGAGTTATCTCTGAGTCACCTGGCAAGGCATTGATGGGCCCATTAACAGGAGATAAGGAAAAAACAGTGCCCCTCCTGGTTTCAACAGCTCTTGAGGATGGGAATAAAATACATCTTTATATTGTAACCTAGGACACCACTTTATTCCTCTTAACTTCCTCTAGCTCTGTTCCAGCTCCTTAAAGGCATCACAACAGTCCAGGAGCCAGAATGTAGAGGAGTGAGTGCAGATTCTGAAAACAAACTGCACATTTCTTCTTTCCCCCCTTCACTCTCAGAACCAGCCTTAAAGGTGCAGAATTCATTTCTGGGCTAAGTAGACCAATGGATCATGAAGTCACCCCAGAACACGGCTCTGTCAGGGTCAGGGGTCCCGTCCCCGTCTCATCTCCGGGCTGCCGGGGGTCCCCCGGCTCCGGTATGGCCCCTTCCCCTCTCCCCGCCCCGGGGGTCCCCCATTCCACAGCCCCACCTCTCACGGGGATCCCCAAAACCAATGTCCCACCCTGTCAGTATCAGTCCATCCCCACGGGGACGCCCGGGACCCTCCCAAGGGGCAATCGCAGCTCCTCTCCCCCCGAAAAATTCCTCTTAGGGAGCCCGGAGATATCCGGGGCTCGAGGCTGGGATCCACCGGCTCTGAACACTCTCCAAAAAAATCCTCCCGGAGACCCCTCGGCAGAGTCGGGGCGAGCTCGGCCTCCCCCTGACCTGCGGCTCGGGGCTGGGGGCGATGCTCCCGCGCCGGGGGTGCTGCAGGCTCAGCGTGCGGGCGCTGCCAGCGCCGGGATTCTCCCGCTCCTGCTCCTGCTCC